TAACCTTGGTGCCCTGGCCCCTAAGTTAACTTCTTCTCTGGGTGGTCTATAAATCGGGTCGTTAGCAATTTGTTCTATAACAGGCATGTTTGTTCGAAATTCCGCCTGATTCTGCCTACGCCTTTCTGGGGGAGCAAAGAAATCTGCTATTCGACTCATATTGTCAGCGTTTTCCCTGTTTGTCACAGTCACATTTTGCACTATTGGGGCAAATATCTCCTGCATGGTTTGTGCTAACACCCCTATCATATTATGGTTACTGTCATCCATCAATTGCCTAAAAGCCAACTGGTTGTCTGTGGTTAGGATAGGCATTGTGCTATAACCCACCGACCCTTGGTTATTTGTCATAAACTGATTCGCCCCAGACCCAGACCCTAGTTGTGGAGATGAATTCGATGTGGAATTGTGTAAACCTACCATAAAAGATGTTGGCATTCCATAAGAGGAATTTCTGGTTCTATTCCCATCGAAACCGGGTGGTCTAGTTAATGGAGTGGCGAAATGGGATTGTGTCCCTGATGGTGGAACGAATCCCCCAGGGTAGCCAATGGTTCCAGTATTTCCTAAGATCGAACTATTAGTTGATATGCCACTTACTCCATTGGTGGCTATGTTACTGGTCGAAGATGCAACAGACTGTGCATTCGAAGGGATTACATTAGATGTTCCGATCGAAGTGGACGCGTTAGTGCCTGTTGCATGTGGGCCATTTTGGTCCCCTTGTTGATTGTCTGAATTAGACATTTTGTCCAAACGTTTTCTTCTGGATAAAGGTTGGTTTCTGTTGGTTATCTTACCACTTCTCAGGTTCATAAAACAGCAAACTTCTTAGGTTCCAACGTTTTTGTAATGGTTATGTCTCAACAATCCTTATTTCTAATATCCAATTATTGGTCCCACCAGGTGTGCCAATTTGTTTCCAGTGATTTCTGGTAAACAACCGCTAGTCTTCCAAACTATCGAATAATCTTTCTAACTGTTATTCAATTCCTCTGGTAACTCACAGGATCGACTAGATTGATCCTAGGACTCCTTGGATATTAAGGTTACTCTCACGATCGAACAGATATTCATGGTTGATATTGTATATGTGTTTGGCTTATTTCGATTTCTCTCTCTAAAAGTCTAAAGATGTAATCAAAATGTGTGTGAAAACTAAGTTACATGAATAAATGCTAATTGTAATGCTAATTGTAAAGACATGTAAAACCGCATAAAAGTGAAGTAAATAGTTTCGACTTACAAAACAGTTAATATAAAGGATTTCTGGAACGTAAAAGGTTTGACTTTAAGGCTTGAAGGTAAAGGTATGGAAAATATGACAGTTTTCTGAGATATAAAGTGCTTGAAATATGAAGAAAACATTAAAATGTAAAACTTTGAAGAAGAGATTTCGAAGTGAAAAGACTGTAAATAAGAAAACTTGTAAATGTTATTTGACAAAAGGGATAAAGGAAAGTACTGGAAATGGTAAAAGGTTTTCATTAAATCAGAAATACATGGTGCTATCATACATACATTTCTCTTGCATTCGTTTCCCTTGCCATGTGGTAGTTTGAATGTTACTGAGTATTTTGTATAATAGATATGACACACGAAATCCTAATACTAAGACTTCTATTTATACTAATTCGACCATAACGGTCTTGCTATAGGATTATGCCACATTTAGAACATGCAAGACAATGCCTCTTTCATCTTTACACGTGTCCCCAAATGCTCCAACACATAACTTTCAAACTTCGAAAGTTCCGCTTCCATTTGAATTTCAAATGCTTTGGTGCTTCTCCGTTTCGAACGCTCTTCCCAGACACAGCCTTGTTGTTATTTCGAGACTTCTTTAGATATGTTCCCATAATTGCCACTCGAAGCTCCAAGCTTTGACACACTTATTCGAAACACTACTTCTGCTACTTCGAAACATGACGCTTTACCTCATTTCGATCAAAACGTTTAATTCATTTGGCTTCTAATAACATTATCAAAATCTTCAACCAACACCTCCAAGCTTGCCTCCCACTGGATCCAGCGCAGTTGTGGGCCAACCATACCTGGGCCTTGCTGGAATTCAGCAGTACACCCCTCCAATTGGGTTTCTCACCCCCCTCAGGCCCATTTTTCTAAATTCTTCATTCTTTTTTTTAATTAGTTTATATTTTGTTTATTCATATTTTTTTTAAATTATAAAAAATCATAAAATCATCAAAAAAAATAGGATTTAGAGTTTTTTTTAAAGAAAATTAATTCGTTGCAAATTAATTAAATTTAATCAACTTTAATTTGTTTTCCTTAATTTAAAATAAATTAGAAATTAGGTTAAATTGCAAATATTTTTCATAAAATACCAAAAATATCTTTAATAGACAATTAGATTTTTTAGGGCTTAGAATTTATTTCAGTCTTAATTTCCGCGCGTGATTATTTTTCATACGACTATTTTTATTATGTAATTGTGCCCGGTTTGTAATAGTTTAATTAGGGTTTTCAATTTCCGCATTTTACTTTTCGTTCATTATTTATGTAACTACACCAAAGCTTTTTAATAGTTGTAGGAACTTTATTTCTCGCATGACAAGATTAATCAATTAATCCTTAGGTCATTAACTTCAAGATAAATATCTGAAAAAAGCACATTGTTGCACACTCGCACCCTTAGGGTACTCCCCCACTTTGGTTGCCTCAGAAAACAATGGTCGTGTCCTTCGAACGTAGGGATATCTTAGCAAAGACCCTCAGTTTAAAAGTCATCATAAAAGATCATGGTCCCTTAATGTCCCTCGAGTTGCCTACGAGAAATGATCTTGCCCCTCGATGTTGCCTATATGATGACAGTCCCTTTGAAATGCTAAGGTATCCTTACATGTTGCCTTCAATGACCATAAACGTCCCTTTTTGATAGCCCATCAACATTCGACGATATGGCTACTTACTCACTAATAGTAGGATAGCACTATCTAAAGGAAAGGAGGAAAAGAACGTCTCTTTTCGAGTAGGTAGATAGTTCTTAAGTACTTGCTCAAACCTAATTTTTTACACTTACACACTTCCAAACTTCTTTTTAAAAAACGTTTTATCACACTCTTGAAGACTGATACAAGAGTTACCATAAAGCTAACAAAATCTTTCGAAACAAACAAACACGAAAACATTTTTCAAAATGAGCAAGTACCTAAGAGCACGTGGAAAACCACGGATAGAAAGGGTGCTAACACCTTCCCTTTCTATAATCTACCCCCCTTACTCAGAAAATCTCGAAAAAGATCTTTTTCTGTTATTTTCACCCTTTCCTTTGTTGGATAAAAGAAAATTCGGTGGCGACTCTTGCTTACCGCGACATTTGCGAACAAAAAACGCAAACCAGTATAACAGTCGATTCTACCACTGTATCACACTAGTAACTTGCAATAAACGTTAAATAAGCTGTAAAGTGATTGAAGCATATTAATTCAAGTATCATTATTATTCTGTATTGATTTTTGTTTTCAAGTTTACATATCCGAGTTTCTAATAACGTTCGTAAAAGACGATATTTTGAAAAGGCTTATGCGTTGCTCTTTGATAAAAACAACTTTTTGAAAACCAGAAATTTCTGGATATTTTTTAAAAGAGATATATATCCACCCCCTCTAGATACGTTATCGTCATCTAACAAATTCCACTCACAACAGATCTATCCAGACTTGTCTTCATGGTAGGGCTAGCTCCTCTTTGTGTAGATAATCGTGATATGGTCTATGACTCTGGGAAACTTTGTTTAGAACCTGCTTCACCTATTAAGAAATGGTGATCGTATAGTATTGATCAGTGAGATGTACATTTTGAGGGTTTGTACGAGGGTCCCACCTATATGAGATTTATCCAGAAGGTTCCTCATAGTAGGGTTCGTCACTCATTAATTAAAAAAAAGCATTGAAAAGGCTTTGAATTGTCTGATATGTTGTCAGCTCCTTATAGACTTTGTTTGTTAAATAAAGAGCTACAACTCTCCTTTATGCAACCCCAAAGTGTTATTTCAATCTATTTATGTTTTTTTGGTTTTAAAATATTTTATATGGACGAAAAACACACGCACATCTCTAGGTCACCTCATAAGAAGATATTAGAAGATGAGTGGGCTAGAACAGATCATGTCGTTGATGTGTAGCCTATATGTCGTCGTATTATGAAACTTGCGCGCACGAGTATAGACATAGGAGACTTTCCGAAAAGCACTTCTGAGACGGTCATTGTAGAAGGCATTCTATCGTTTGTAATTTTTTATTTTAATTGTATTATAAATCCAAGATTGATTCAATTATATATGTCATTTTCATCTTATTAAATAAGTGTATGGTTTAATTTATAAAAAATTATTATAATGTAAATGGGTACATCCAAAAATATACTTTAAGATATTTTTTAATTTTTCATTGTTTCTCTACCATTTAAGGTGGGAGAAGTAATCCCAAAGTGGTTTGGCATATGCTTGAAGTCCATTCAATTACAACAAAAATCTTACTTGAAAACATTTAAATTAGTACAACAATATGCACTAAGTCAAAAAAAAATTTCAAATACCTAAAGTTAAACACAATCTATTTATAATTTAATGTTAAATGATTTCTATGGACCAGTTTGAATTTATGTGTTTTTTCTTATGTATATAGGGAGACAAATGTTTGCATGAATTAGGTTCAACTCTTCTGAAAAGATAATTGATAAATCGTGGTCGCACATGTTGCAAAGAAAAAGGATGCCTCTATACTTGATATGTATATATCTAAAAATTTCTACAACCATTTATTCTCAAGAAAAATCATAAGACAATGATTGTTACTAATATATGTAATGACTGCTACTAATGATCCAGTAATGTAAGAAAATGCAAGTTAGGCATCAAAAAATGAATAGAAATAATTATACACGGCATGATCACTTTCACTTCTCATAAAAATTAAGTCTGCCTAAATTTTTTGTATTTTGCTTCTCTACAAATAAATGTAAATGTAAGCTATGCACTATACAGCAACGCTACAATCGCCTTTCTGGGAAATATCACCATGAGGTTCAATTGAAGAATGTTGAGACACTTCTATTGTTGCCATAGCAGATGATGGTAGTTCACTTTCATCATTAACATGAGAAAGTTGAGAATTAACAAAATCTTCACTTGGATTGAATTCTTGTGGATCAACTTCATCCGGATCAACAAAATGCGTGTGATTGATTTCACCCGCGTCATCTGAAAAGTTTTTTGTGTTGTTGATCTCGTGACTTACGTCACAAAACTGTGAATCATCGATAACAATATGATCACACGGTCGTAAATCTTGATCAATCTCATTCCCTGCATGCAGCTCCTCAATATTTTGCTCAGAAGTCATATGGTTAAAGACTTCTTTTATTTCCTCGTCAGCTTCTTGCTTTAGATCATCATGGTTAAAATCGTCTTTTTCATCATCATTGTAGCCTAGCTCAGATTGATCAACCCCAAGGTGTGTGTCGCAGAGGTGCATATTCTCGGCATCAGCATGAAGCATATGGACAGAACTTACTGCATTTTCCACAGTACATAATTGTGCATGATGCTCCATCTCTCTATCCATGTGACTTAGATGCAATTGGTTAACCTCAATAGTAGTGCCATAGAATTGAGGTTGTTCGTCCTCACTCGCGACGTTATATTGAATCACACCATCCTTCCGCAGTCGTTTACCTGCCCCACCTTTTCTTCTGACCCTCTCCTTTCCCCTTACTCTTTTTCCATGTTCAGCTTGAGGTGTGGCCGTTACTATTGTTGGACCACTGATTTGGTCTCTCAAACATTCATGTGCAATATATCTTATCCGAGATATTGATTCGATTTGTTGCGGGTCTAACCCTTTGGTTGAAAAAGTATCGGCTATGTGTGCAATATCCCTAAGACCAGCATTCTGCAAGGATTTGTTTATTTTCTATAAAAAGCATTTCAAACTTAATCTACAATTGCTACTTGATACATAAAACTTAACTCGTGAAAATATCCTTACCGTTCTCTGAAACTCGGATGACAGAGAAATAGGCCTCCCTATGAACTTGCGGGTAATCCTCATATACCAATCCATGTACTCGCTTTCATCAACGCCCTCATCCCCGTCGACAATGTGCAGCTGACGGTCCATCCACTCAGTAAGCTCTGATTCCATTTTTCCGGACAAATCAACCCCACCGTCAACTCCTCTACTCTTCCTTTCCCATCGCTCCACATCATCCGGAATTGATTGAAGCATGCCATATTGCCTTAAGCACCGATTTGGAAGATGTCTTTCAGCCTTGTCAAAGCATATTAGCATTGTCTTTGACCTCCCAATAATTAAAGTGCTTTTGATATGATCTGGAATTACCATACTGTCCATGTTTCGGTAGGGGAGCCACTCCACCTGTAGATCTATACTAGTAAAACCGGATTCTATATCTTAAAAAAATATATAGAATACTATCACGCCTACATTAAACATGAGAATGAAAATAAGACTTACATCACATGGTTTTAGGGAATCCAAAGCTTTCCGATAAAATACAACATCGCGATTTGCAGTTGGGCCACTTTGTTTTCCTTTCCATCTAAGCACAAAGGGAAATCGGTCATGCATCATGTCGAGATTGAGCTTTGGTCGTCCAACGTTTAGGTGAAAGTAACTCCAACACTGCAAATGCAGAATAATCGGTTAAATCCTATGAAGCACCAACACATACACGAACACCGAACAAACAGTGACACGTTAACACCAATATTAAATTGAGAAAATGTAAGTAACTGAAGCAACTAAATGTATCGGTGTCGTGTCCACGACACCTGACACATGTTACATAACACGCCTTCAATCTGATAAGCAAGAAAAACTACAGTTTGAAAGAAAATGATAAAGAGGACCACAACCTGCAGTAGTGTTAAACAGCCACTAATGGTGCTTTGAGTTCTTAGCGAGGCATTTCCTAGTGCTCTATACAAGAATGACAAAGCCGCCGAGCCCCATGCATATTGTCCACATCTAACAAAATTCTCAAACAACGGCAAATACATTACAGGGACCTTATTCCCGGTAGTTGTGGAAAATATGGTACTACCTACAAGATAAAGAAGATAAGCACGGGTATGTTGCTCGATCACTTCGATTGGAGCATCAACAGGACATCGAGAAAAGAACTCTTTCAACCAACTTAGCTTCACCATCCCGCCACTTGTGTAACCCGATTCGGGTGATCGGCCAAGATACTTTTCACAAACAGAAATGCACGAGGTATATGTCAGGCCTATTACAGGTTCCCCGTCAATTGCCAGCCCAATCAAGAGCGCGACATCTTTAAGGGTTACTGTCATTTCACCAACATTCAAGTGAAAAGTGTTTGTTTCTCTTCTCCATCTTTCAACTAGAGCAGAGATCAGTGGATTGTCTAGACTAATAGCTGGAATTGACCTTAAGTATCCAAATCCAGCCTTCTCTACCAATTCAACCTGTTTCGGTGTAAGTGTCCACTGATCAAGTTTTGAAGTGTGCTCGTGACATCTGAGGGCACCGCGCTCCTGCTAATGTAACGTTAACGAGAGAACAATTATACAAATAGTCAATACATTAAAAGAATTATCAGAAAAGAAAACGAAATATAGTGAAGCGGAAAGTAGTCGCAGTTAGCAAAACGCACCTGCCCTTCCCAAACTGCTGTTGATACATGCTTGTCTTGATCATATAAAACTGAACCATCAATTGGACCTGGATTTGTTGTGTAAGGATCCACCACTCCCACTTCCATTACTGATGACTAAAATAAGAAAAAGTTAAATGAAAAACAGAAGCTTGAATTTTTTTTTCTGATATTGTTTTGTAAAAGTAACTTATCAAAAAGGAAGAGAGGACGCAATGGACAAGGGTAATGCAAACTCTTAAAAGAACAAAAGACTAGAGAAGATAAGAAAAATTGCCAAAACATCAAAAGGAAAAATGCCTACAGATTCTAAGCACGGTTGTCAAATAGGAGCCACAGCAGCACTAAAGCGCCGTAGAATTTGATCAGAAAAATTTAAGACGAACTTTCTTTACCAGAAAAATTGAATGATTTATACTGCAGATTTTAGGGATGGATCCTTCTTGTAATAATCGAAAGGAAGAAATTGACAATCTTCAACTTTGACTTCCATCTACTCATGCTTCATTGAGTTATCAAATTCTCTTTTCCTTAAGTAAACAGCATTCTGAGGGAAAATAGACACTAGAAAATATGAGGAAATGCAATATTAATGCAATTCGTTGACAAATAATAAACATGACAGATATCATCAAATTTTTTAGTATTTGATTCAACATGCATGTTGGTATTGATATTGAGTAATATGTAGCAACCAAACTAAGAGAATCTTATAGGGAAGAAGCAGAAGGTGGTAAATCGCATGGTCTCCGGGAGAAAGAAAGCAATAGGTGGTTGTAGACTTCTCGCCAAACATATGAATCTGTACGAATTGCATCTAATAACTACCAGGAGGGATACAAGTTCAACGTGTTTGTTTAACTTATGCTTAAACAACAGAAGGCACCATTCATTCACAGGGAGAGGAACAAAAGCACAGTTTTCAATCTCGGATAACAAAATATAGCGGCCAAGAGCAAAACCACTATAACAGGATATAGCATACCAGGATTACCACGATTCTTAATTTTTTTCCATACTCAAAATTCATGAAATAAGGATCAACAATAAAGTAATAAAGTAAAGATTTCCAAAAGTAGCTTGACAGAAACATGTATCTTACAACTCAATCCATCAAGGAATCGCATCACGAGTGGTTTTTGTTATTTTCTATTGCTAACATATCATGAGAACTAATCTTTATAAATTTTAAGAACTTTACCAGGAAAATTGAAAAACTTATATCGCAGATTTTAGGGATGATGTAATCCAAACAAAGCAATTGACAATCCTCAATTTGGCTACCGTCTACTCATGTTTCACTGAGTTGCAACATTTTGTTTTCCTTGTGTGAACAGCATTCTAAGGGATAAACCAGGATGACAGCTGTTCGGAATTATATTATACATACGCAATAGTTAATACTATAAATTCATGAAACGTTATTAAATAAAACAAAGTTTCTAAAACAAAACATACAAATAAATACCAAAAAATGCAACAACAAGAAAACATAAATACCCAAAAAAGCCAAAAACAAACAAGTTTAAGCATCTAAATATTATATCAACATTCATTCCCCTATATAAGAATAGAATACCTAAAATATCTTGATACAATAAAAATTTCTGAAGCATTTAGCAAACACTAAAGGGGTAGTCTTGGTTCAACGGTAAGGTTGTTCCATTGCGACCCTGGGGTCATGGGTTCGAACCCTGCTGGAAACAGCCTCTCTGTTATAAAAACGAGCCCATGAAATGGGAGTCTCTTGCACTACTTATTTATATTGTGACAAATAGAGCTATATATCTTAGGAGTAAATGGAATATCTTGTAGTTGAGTTTCGCTTATGACTTAAATAATTATCAATAACAAATAAAAAAACATAGGCCTTAAAGCAAAACACAAGTAAATTCTAAAATAAGTGAGAAAAACAAACATCAACGCCATTGAAAAAAGATGCAATCTTTAATCAAATTAAACAAAAGGGTTTTTCAAATGGGCATTCTTGAAAATTGTTCAAGAAGATAAACAATTGGGTCCCAATGGGGTTTGAGAGGGATGGGGAGAGAGAGAGAAAGAGAGGGAGAAGCAGTGGAAAATGGTGAGAAGAGATCTCTGCATGGCTCAGTTTATGTTTTTGAAAATAAAAACAGAAAGAAAATTTATGGGAGAGAGAGATGCTTACTGTGAATGGATGAGAAGACGATACGACTTCCACCGTCGTCGCTTTGCTTAGCACAACAGGTTTGTTTGAGGGCAAAACAACGCTAAAGGGTATCTCGCGAAATTCAGTAGAGGTTTTTGGGTTTCTCAGATGGGACAATTGTTTGGGCTTCGTGCAATGGCCCAACAACTTTAAAAGCCCATAATTTAATAATTTGATGAGAATTTCTTAAAGTATCCTATAACTAACGTATCGTATGAAATTTCGAAAATACCCCCAAATTTTGAAAATGTATTTTCAGAAGGACGCTACACACATATAATTCATTAATATTTTAGATACAGTCTATTTTACGATTAAATTTATTTCTGAAATGTATTTTTGAAATTTCTTTAAAAATATATTTTCGGAAGTTCATTACAGCCTTTGAAAATGCACTCTTGAGTATACTTATTTTTCTTCTTTGAAGACCATTTAGATTTAACAAAACTCATTCCAGTATGAGTGCCTTCTTTTTACCTCACGAAGCTTGGAATTGCATGATAAAAATTCATTTGTGGCTATATTTTCAGAAAAACGGCACCTAAAATTAAACATACTAGGAAACTCTAAAGTAGGTTAGCAACAGATATACCAATGAATTTTTGATAATAATACTGTAGGAGGTTCTAAAAACATTTCAAAAATGCATTTTTAAAATAAATTTAATCATAAATAGAATGAATTATATATATATATATATATATATATATATATATATATATATATATATATATATATATATATATATATATATATATATATATATATATATATATATATATATATATATATATATATATATATATATATATACCGATGAGTATTTTTGAGGATATTTTTCTACTACATATGGTGAATTAAGGAATTCTATAATTTAATTTTTAAGGCAATTTCTCTTTGCATCCTTATACATTTTCCTATCTTTTGTGCGAAATTTCTAAAATGTCTCATGTATTTGGAGATATATCTCTGGACGCACTAATTCTCCATTTTAATCACAGGTTAATTCAAATATGTATCTTTGAAGGACATTTTAGAGTATGTTCGGAGATACATCTCCGAATTAACCTTTTCTGACAATCAAAAAAATATTTCGAAGTATTTAAAACTCTAGTGATATATCAGAGTGTCACGTCTTTATATGACATCAAATGCTCTAGGAGATCCACTTAGGCCAACTCATCAGGAGACATTAGAGGGGGGCATACTAGGACATATCGTGTTGTTGATGTGTATCCTAGATGTTGAAGTATTATGGATCTTGTGCAAGTTGTAACACTCCATTTCTACCCAACAAATTATATAAAATCAGAGTTACAAAATCTCCAACAAACAAATGGAATGCTACACTTTCAACTTAGAAACAACGATATTTAATCTCCTATAGTTCAGATACATAACACATAAAATTCAAATGAGCCGATAATAACCTATTTAGTCTTTAAAAAAATAAAACAACTTTCATTGCTACGCAGCAGATTCACAAATTCAACTAAAAACATCATAACATCTTGTCCAACTCAAAACAGATTTAAGACAACAAGTTTTTAATGAAAACAACTTAAAAATTCGATAACATAATGAAAAACAACGATAAAGAAAACATGCGTTCATCCTCTCGAGTGCTACGTATCAGAGCGACGACACCGACTCGAACTACTGAAGGTAAACAACCTTCATTCTGGATTACCTGCACGTTACCAACATAGGGATACAATTCAAATAGAAAGGGTGAGATATCAAACAATGTAATCAGATGTATGATAAATAATATATTAGAATCAGATCATACAAAATCACTGCTTCATAGCTTTTAAACGACATTCATTACAACCAAGTCATTTATAACACCCTCTAAAACCCCGCATAAATTTTCGCGATTTTAAATAAAACATACTTTCAGAGTACATGTATTAACGAGGATGCCACAATTCTCTTTTTAATAAAAACAAAGTTCCTGTCATGCATAACATAGAAGCAACTCATACATGTTTACACAGCGGAATAATTCAATTAACAAAACCAATGTTATAATATTTTCAAAATCATCAGGGATTAACACCTGGAATATATCAACATCATATTATAACAAACATAAGGAAATAAACGAGTCTGACTAAAGCAGCTCGACAAACAAACGTTCCCGGAGTTACAACTATCAGAGCATGACCCAGACAATACTTAAACAGAAATAAACTAGAAACGACAAGCCTTCGCCAAGCACCTGAACGAAGCTCCTCAATCTGAAATGTTCAACAGTAAGGGTGAGCATCTCAACTATACATTTGATTATACGTTCATAACAATCAATTCAGAAAAACCATAAGCATCACCCAAACAGTTAGCATGTTTTATAGTTTACGAAAACCTTTACAATTCATATATTCATAATCTATTACTTTTCATACTTATAATTAACATCAAACATCATTAACAATTCAGCAACAATACATGCATACAATCAATTAAATACAACATTGGAAAATCATCCATTCATGTTATATTCAATATAATGCAACACACCCATGCATGTGGTACCATTTTACCGCCCCATTAAATCTCGGGTCACGGATAACTCATCGTTCCATTATATCGCGGACACGGCTACCACCTCAACGTTCCATTAAATCGCGGACACGTATATTGGCCACCATGTTAATTCCACACAATGGGAATTAACAAATACAACATGATATGTAAAGTATGTAACACTCAGCATACTATTAACATTAAGAAAACATATCATGCAACATCAACAATATCAATCATAACAGGATATGGATAGTATGTAACCACTCAGCATACTATTAAACATCAACCAATCATATCAAGTTATATCATAATTCATGCTTGATAACATCATCTAAAAGCATGACAATAACATCCTCGTAGTGTTGGTATCATGACATACAAACATTAT